GCCGAAACACAGAGAGGAAAGCAAGTTATGTACTGTCTCTCTGCACCCCAGCTAGTTTGACTCTAACTACTGGCGCATTTGTCTGTAGATGTTACCGCATTGACCTCTGTCCGTCTACAGATCGACCGTGTGATTTGAGGTCACGAGAACATTGGTAACATGCACCAGTCGGGCACCCAGCCAGCCAGAAAACTAATCCACCCGGCCTTCTGCGGGAAAAGACCTCTCATGATCAAATGCCTCACAGGTTGGGGTTGACGCAAACACATCGAAGCGGACATGCTTTGCTGCCAGCACATCTGTGCCTGAGCCCAGCGTTCGGCGCTTCGATGAGCCAAGCCTGTCCTGGTCTGAATTTGGAACCGTGGCACACGTGCATGTTGCAAGCACACAGTGCAAGTTGCACAAAACATTAGATTTTTGTGCGAGAGCTGAGGCTTTACAATTTTACAAATCCGAATGTGGTTTACAGGCAGCATGCAGCTTGCAAGCTGCCGCGCGGCTGGCACCAGCACTGAGTCAGCACTAGCTTTGTGCAGTGAAGCTTAGACTCCTCGGGAAGAGGATCCTCGAGCCATGTGGGTATTGACAACGTGCATCCAAGATGTATTTTAAGAGCGATCATCCTCTGCCTAGAGCCAAAACAATCACGACGGACCTTTTAAAAGTCGTCGTGATGAGAGAGCAGGTTTGCACCCTCATGAATTCTTGCACTGTCCCTCTGGGAGAACTACACAGAGCCCAGAGCGGCATGGCACCTGCTCCAGTTCACGGAGCTGCTCGTCTTGCACAAGTTTTCGTCTGCATCTACAGCTTAGCGGCAGCTCTTGTAGCTGCAATTTACCAAACCTCTATGCAGAGCTATGCTAAGGACAGGGTAGCTTCACGTCCCCGGCAGGGGACACAGAGACAAAACGGAGAAATAGAGAGAGATAAGAGGCCACTAGCCCGGCCGGCCGCTTCGCCCTGAGCTGCACGCAAAGGAATGCAATTTCATGTGAAGGGGTGCTGTGGCAACATCCGGGCCAGTCGCAAAAAGCCACAAAAATGCTTCCAAATTGCCTTCCACTCGCTTTCGCCAGCTGCTTGGCCGATCGCTTGACCTGGAGCTCAATATAGCTCAACACTGCCCATCGAGAAGCAAATCGAACGAAACCACCGAAAGTTTTCGTGGTTCTGCACCATATGAATCCATGTTTCACACCATGCAACTGCAGCCCCGTCTAGAAATGAGTAACGGGATGTGACACGTGCGTGTGAGCAACAAAATTATGTTGCCCACCGCCATGAAAATCGATGAGAGGCCAGAACGGGCACTGAAGAAGTGGCACCTCCGAGCTCCCAGCGCGAATTCCAGGGTCGTCCTCTGGCTCCCTTCACCTCGAGGCGGCTGTTCTATTGCACGTGCAGCTCTGACAGTAAAGACATTACACGCCAAATCAACCCGTGTGGAAAACTATCGGCGACAGAGACTCTTAGACACACAGCTTCGAGCCAGGGTACCACGTGCATTCGGCGCCAAGTTCGCCTGGAAGCCGGATCGAATCATACATGCAAATGGATGTCGGAAGGAGGGATCTTCATGTCAACTGATACAGCTGATGTGACATTGCGAACAGTTCTCGCTGCTCAAGACTGTGTGCCGGCGGGTTCTCACCGATGTTAGGCTTGAGTCGAGGATCCAGTCATGTGCTCGTCCTTGTAGGTTGCTTGGTTGTCACTACAATCACTACAAGAGATATAGCACTGGCGGGACAACCTAGGCTGGAAACGGTGTGACTACCCAGAAACCTTGCTGTTCCTCGCGCAGCTTGCCCTGTTCACGAGCTGAAACCCGAGTTGAACTGAGTTGAGGACTGGAGGGTCCCTCATCTCCTGGTCAGCCTGCACCTGAGCCCAGGCTCAGGAGTCACAGGCATCGGGAAGAGCTTGCGCAAAGGCATAGATCGGCCGGATTGCAGGTTTCAAGTCGGAAGCCGGCCGCAGAGCTCCCAACCAGTGCTGCCCCTCCGGAGCGCTGGCGGCGCTTGCGGCCGAGGGCGCTGCTGCTGCCGGCGCGGGTGGAGGAGCTGCCGCGGGTGCCATCTCCGTGGGCTTCAGGCGCTCGAGTGCACGGACAAGAGATCCGGCCCAGGGCCCAAAGATGGAGTCTCCGGTCTGGCTTTCGCTTGGTCGCGGCTCTGTGAGAGGGCCCGGGCCTGGGGCTGGTCGCTCGGCCCGCTCGGCCCGCTCGGCTTTCACGTCGCTCTTGAGAGCACTGGCAGCCTTGGCCGCATTCAACTGCAGCTTTGGAATTGGATGAATCTCCTTCTGCTCCTTTTTGGAAGAGGCCGGCGAAACGACCTCTTCTTCCACATAATCGCATCTCTCTGAAATAGACGTCTTTGGAACCTCGTGGTCAAGCACAGAGGTAGTGGAAGCCTTGGATGCGTTTCTGTTGCGACCGTCTGATGAGTTTGCCTGTGGAAAGCAACCCTCATCAACGGAATGCCTTTGAACAGACCGATGTGTCGGCTTGATAACTCCTTGGACTAGACTGCTTGAGATCGCCAGCTTGTCCAGCGCTTCCTCCAGCTGCTGCTGAACCTTCCATGTGCGACGTCGCTCCAGCATCACCAGACACGCAAAACAAAAGCTCCGCCGGTTACTGCGCTGCAAAGCAGCACTCATGCGCGAAAGCTCCGTCTCTGTGTCCCCTGCATCTAGCATCTGATGCAACCAGCCCTGCTCTGCTTTGCTGGCATCTTCATTTTCCGAACCGTCATCTGTTCCTTCACTGGGGGCTCGCTCACTTGCTTTTGGGGTGGCAGTTCCGGTCTTGAAAGTATGCAGGGTGTCCTTGCTGCTTCGTCGGCATAAGGCCCGCTCCAGCACATTCGAATTCCCCGTTTGCATTTCGCTCATGATCGCTTCAGCTCCCTGGCCTTCCCACACCACAAATCGCCTCTGTGCGCAACCCTGGGCCGAGGGATTGTGCAGTTCGGGCCAACCTCGCTTGATCTCTGGCCACAGCACCATCAAAGCATCGTGCAGCTCTTCAACGAAGAACTCATCCACTGTAGGCTGCTTCTCACGATCGGCAATATTCTGCATGTAGTGGGTGTCCCAACGTGTAATCGGCATTCGAAGTAAAGAGACTTGCTTCTTGGGAACAGGACTGTCATCTTCAGGATCGTCCGTTTCTTTCGGGCTAGGGCTTGTCCAGAATCGCCTGCATCTCCCAGTCAGTCCTGTATACGCGCCGTAGAGTCTCACCCTAACAGCCCCCCAAATTACGGCCATGAAGGGCACGTCGATCTCCATGTGACGCCGCAGCCAATCAATCTGCAGGCGCCGTGTTCGTTGACAAATCAAAACAGCCTCCCGAAGTGCCACGGAGACCAAGCCAGGGGTCGCCTGCCCCGAGATGTTCATGTAACATTCCAGGGTACTCTGAAGCGCCACTGTGAGGAATCGCCGCTCCCGGTTGGTGAGCTCGCTTACATCCAAACTGTTGTCTTTGCTGCAGAACTGGACCAAGTTTCCTGAACCCACGCAATTACGATAGAAAGCCAACAACACTTCCTGCCACCACTGCAACTTCATGCCGGCCAGGATTTTCAAGCGCAGTGGGCGCACAACCATGTCACTCACGAGTGCTCGAAGTGCATAGAACCAGAATACGAGGTGGCTTGCAATGACAATTGCAATTACACAGGCCCTGAACACCACGCTGGACAGCAGAGTAGCGACCAATGATGTCTTTCCGGCCTCGGACTGAGTTTCTTCGAAGAGCGACACGCCTAGAAGCGTGACGACCAAGCACCACAGGTTCAAGAGCTCCAACTTGTCCAGGACCTTGTACTCTCGGTTGTCGAAAGGATCTAGGCGAAGATGCTGGATGAAGAAATACATGCCCAAGCAGAGCATGATCGTCGATCTCAGCGTTTGCTGCGGAAGGCTAGCTGCAAATAGAATGGAAAATTTTCGCAACATGTAGATGCACTCATAATGGTACGACTGCCACTGAAATCCGTTGTACAGAAAGCCCAGCTTTCTTCGCGTCGAAGGCATCATCAACTTGTGCCTCCGCCTATACAGAAGAAGAAAAAAGACAGCTGGTATCCCAAGGCCATAAATCAGCAGCCCGGAAAGGCACAGAACGAAGACATGTATATGCTCGGTACCTCGGCTGCACGAATGAAACTTGCTATCTATCCAAGGCTGCAAAAGCCTGTTGCCCAGGAGCCAAAGCACACCACGTCCATGTTGACCATCAAGCGCAGTGTGTCATACTCTTCACACATGGTGCCCTGCCAAAGAGGCGCACCAAATACGTTCTGAAGCTAGAGGAGAAGAGGGTGCCAGCACGGAAATGCAATGCGTGCTACGCAGTTGGCTTACCAATAGGCATGCGACACTACCACATACTGCCACCACCGCGACAGCCGCAACAGCAACGACACAACAGTCACCCGATCAAAACCACGACGAATCGCAGCCAACACCAGAACCACCGCCAGCAGCACCACCCGCACTCTCACCAGGCCCCCATCCAACTTCACAGTTTGCTGTTGTTGAATCTTTCTGCTTCAACCAGCACTCCACAATTGTCAATTGCCCCAAAGATCCTGCAGTGACTCCTCCTGCCCCAAAAGGGATGACATCAATTCAGCACCCCGACAAAACTCTCTCAATGCAGGAGCTTTGGCAACATCGCAGTGTGTCCCACACCAGAAGCATACACAGCTGGGACGGTGTGGCAGCCCTGGCTTCTCCGAGACAGGCTCGTTGTACAACGGATCTCCCCACTTCGTTACCACGGCTTCTACGGACAACTGTCAGCAGCAAGGTTGACATTGACATAGCAAGAACTCGACTTATATCCAATGATCTCTTCCTGGGAGGCCTTGAGAAGGGCCTGAATGATGGTCGGGTACAGCACGAAAGCCCACACCACCTCTGGCAAAGGCGAAGCTTGTGGGCACTTGTGGGCTGTCAAACGGCCTGTTGACAGCTTTGCGACATGCAAGTCTTCGCATGGGGAACCAGAATACAAGGCTTGAAGGCTTTGTGCTTGCTATTTGGGCGTCACCCTCTAGAAGCGGATAATCGCAGCTTCGGATGGAGGGCTTGAAGCAACTTTGGCATGCTTCTCGCATCTTTACATCTTCTCGCAGCCCTCACAACACACCTCATCACTACGTGCCTTCTGTGCAAGAACTTGCTGCCAAACCTATTCTTTCAATGTCTGCCAAGATGCAGAAGATTGAACAACCGCCAACTTAAACTCCTTCCATTGCTTGATCCTCGGAACGACACTCTCTTGCGTTGAGTCTTGCACCCAGTAGCAGGGTTTACAGTTTAGGGGCTTAGGACGTTTGGGGATTAGGGCTTTGAGATGTTTTGAGGTGGCCTGAGGCTCTGGCTCTTCTTCAGTGTGACTGAGGCTTGCAAGGCCAGCACTCGCTGCGCTGGCTTGGCTGGCTGCCTGCAAAACTTGGCAGGACTTTAGGGGTTTGGGCTTGAGGGTTTGAGGGTTGAGTGGCTTAGGGGCTTGAGGGTTTAGGCTTTAGGGTCTAGGAGTCTAGTCGTTTCGGATTCAAAACTTCATCGGTTTGGGCCTCCGAAGCAGCCAGGCTCAACTTCGAGGAGCTCTTCGAACCTTTCGCGGTCGTCAGGAGCTCATTGTCGGAGAAGTGCCTTGTTAGAGATGTCCAGTTCCAGCTGTGATCATCGAACTGGCGGAGTCTCTCGACAATTTCCTTGTTGCGCTTGATGCGGCAAATGAGAATGACATTCCTTAGAAGACGGGCAGGCTCCATAGCTGAAAGCGATCAAAGGGCTCCACAACCCAGAGACCATGGCTACAGGACAGACCCTTCGTGTCAAGCATCCGCAGCAGGCAGAAAAGCATGTTGCAAAACAGGGCTGCGGGCAACATGAAGATGGCCAGGTACATCTGGGCACGAAATACATGCCAACCAGAGCTTTGAAGCAAGCAGTCGTAGCTCAGCAGGATTGGACCTGCCACGACGTGTGCTTTCACATCACTGTGAGTGCATACCCCCGCGACTTACTGTCCACTAAATTCACTGCCTTCATCAGTAGGTGCCGAAGGGAATGACTTCTGCAGTTCTGTCCACATCTGGTCCCAAAAGCCTGTAGACTGCAGCGTAACCTGCACGGATCGGCTCAAGAGGCTATAGCCTCGACACAACAAGCAAGAGGTGGCGCGCTTGATCCTCCTAATGCCTTGCCAACACAAACCAGCCTGCGCAAAAACCAAGTAGTTGATGACGATCTTCAAGATAATCGATTGCAGATGACGAACAGAAAGGGCCGAGGAGATCGTGGCTTTGAAGACAATCGCTATGTAAGCCGTGCAGGCGAGGATCAGCAGGATGACAAGGGCCACGTTGACTTCAGTGGCAGGGCACTCCTGGCAGCGACCTGCCAAAAGCATTCCATGGGCAATGAACTGAAGACTACAGATTGGTACAGCAAGACCAGAACGGTTGAAAAAGAAAGCAGAAGCTTCTACCAAGCAATGCAGTCGGATTCACGAGCTGTCATCTGTTTCCATAAGAGCCTAGTCTCGAATTTAAGAAAGCCTACATGGATTAAGGCATCCAGGGTACCTCTGCCCGCCCCGAAGACGATGGAACGTTGATTCGTGAAGCCAGGCTGGCACTGCTCACAAAGAGTTCCGGTGTTGCTGCCCAGGCAGGTGTTGGCTCCGAGGCAGATGGAGGCAGGTCGGCACTTCTGGAAGTTCCAGGGCGTGAGGTCAACTCCGGGCCTGTGGCAGCAATCGCACTTCTTTGGATTACCCCCCCCCCCACACTTGTCTAAAATCACACAGTCGAGGTCGAGGCACTGTAAAGGCATGCGATAGTAGCCAGCACTCGCTTCTGGCAGCGCAGTGCCCAGTTCTGTGCAGTTGGCTCCAGTCGGGCACATTCGACAGTGCGCTTGCGCTGGGACTGCAGCATACGTACCACGCTCGCATGGGTGGCAACTGGTCGTTGCTGAATGACGGTAGCCTCAGTTTGCATTGTCATTGCTGTCATGAGCAAAAGGGTAAAGGCCTGAACACCTCCTGTAGCCTCAACTAGTCTGATTGCAATCCCGAATACGACCAGCATCACAGGGCACACACTCACGGAAGCGCAGAGCATGTCCTTCCCCGCAGGGATAGACCAGGAGTCGTTTTGCATCCCAACTGGGCATCTCCTCCATTTCTTGACCACCTGAAGGGGCTGCTTCAAAAGACACAGTCCCATTGTTCGATCCGCGTCTCTAGCCTTTCGGAAGAAACGATAACTTGGTTCAAAGGACGATCCTGGGCCTTTACCCAGGACCGTGAGCAAGCTCGAGTTGTAGCGCTTGAAAGGCAGCTCCGATTCTGCGAGCGGCTTGAGCTGCACCGTGCGTGACACCAGGGCATCGTCGTCCATCATCCCACTACCCGTGAATGCTAGCCGGCCATAGAAGGTGCTCAAGAAGCCAGTGTCCAAAATTTTCTGCCGCAACTTCGAAGGATCGTAGGTTTCACTTTGACTGACAGCATCGATCAAAAGTATCCCAGCTGCAGCTGCAGCTGCAGCTTGGTAAGGTGGCGGGCGACCGTAGGCAAACGTGTACGCACTAGAGAAATGTGAACCGTTTGCAAAGATTGGACAAGAACGGCTGCAAATGTCATCCCCCAGCTCCGGTACCCAAAGCGCGGGCCCAGCAATAAAGTTCGCATTCCGCGCCTCCACAGAACCAATCAGATCTGGATGCGAAGCCTGCGTGAGAACCAGAGCTTTGGGATTGAAGTCCAACGCCATTGAGGCAACCACAAACATGGAAGCATCGGACACATAGCCACAACCGACCAACACGTCGGGCTGCAAGGTCTTGATTTGTTGGACGATCAAAGTGATGTCGGTAGAAGACCATGTGAAGTTCCCAAGGACAGTCATCCCCAACCGATGCGCTTCAGCAGCACCACCCGCACAGACCGACTTGGGAAACTCGCCGTCTGCATTCGCAAATACGGCGGTTGTCGCGGATAACACCTCATCCGGTCCCAGCCAACATCACACAAGAAGGGAACGATTCGGAAACATAGTCGGCTGCCAACCCAGCTTCGAGAACAAAGGCACTGTGAAGCCAAGAAGCTTGAGTCCTTCGCATGGCATCGACCATATAGCTGTCCGAGGATACCAAAAGACCTCAGAGCAGCAGATGGAATTTTCTGAGTCAACCTTGCACTCATTACACTCATTTGCACCCAACCACTATTGAACTGCAAACCTTTCTTCTCGGGTCTTGGCCGATAATATGGTCGAAGCCCATCCGAAAAATCGAAGGTGACGCTGCTCCAGGCAGAAGGAGCAGCACATCGGATCCAGCGCTCTCTTCAGCTGCTACTTGTGAGAGTTCCGTGGAGAAGGGGCCGACCAACGCATCGGGTCCTTACTGAAGAGTTCCCGTCTCTTCCTTGACATATCATCCATCCTCAACGCTACCAGCACTTCTTGTCTCGACAACTAAGCCCGGCTCGTTCGGGGCCCTGCCTGGACACGAAGTCACTGTAGATACGCTTCACTTCGTCAGCTTCGCTTCGATCGTCCACAAACCACAAGTGGACCAGCAAGCGCTCCCCCCAGAATCCACGGACAGAGGATGTCGGTGCGTTCACTTGTGCTGCCCAAAGCTCCAAGCCCCGGCGGAGTTCACGGGAAAGGACGGCATGTCGGCCCTCGCATGATACAGATGCTGCCACCAGCAGAACCCGCTGACAGCGCGCCAGCGAGTCACAGAAATACTTCTGGGAGCAGTTGTAACCAATGCAAGTAAGGTTGAGCAAACCAGGTTCAGGATCTCCACAGATATCGGCGGCAAGAAGTGGAAAGCACGTCAACAAGCAGGCCAGCGCACGTCGCCATACCACAACCATGCGCTAGATCCTACGTGTCCAGCCTGTGGGCTAGATGGCGCTGACATGGGACTGCCTCAGTCCAATTGCACCGCACATTGCGTGACTGTTTGATCACGGCTGATTCTGCTAATTGATGAAGTACCCAATGCTGCGAGAGCCGAGAACGGTCCGAGAGAAAGCAAACTACAACACAACAGCTGTGCTTCTGCTTTCCCTTCATCGTAGACACGAGCAGTTGAGAAGATGCGCACTGAGCTCGAGTCGACCAGAGCATCAGCTGCGGTGACGTCTGCCTCGGAACTGCTGGCTCCAAAAATGAGAACCACTACCTCTCGAAAGACGTCGTAATCATTGATCTACGAATGCTTTCCCATCTAAGCCTCAAGCTCTCGCAGCGTGCCTCCGCAGCAGTGACACTGACTTGCCCTTTGCCCTTGGACTTTGACAGCTAGGGCAGGCCCTCCTGGCCTCTGTCTTCTTCGGCGGATGAAGTTGAGATCAGCAGGGAGTCCTCCAAACAGGGCTGCACATCCAACGAATCTGCCTATTCATGATGCCGGAAGATTGAAGGCAGCCTTGAAATGAACCGAAATCCATGAACCTTACAAGTAGCGGAAGCCATAACCAAAAAACATATCTCAGCAACATCCGGTATGCAGTAGCACAACATCTCTTGTGAGGAAGGTAGCGGCACACCTACAGTAGTAGAGGAAGACCGATCGGTGAAAATAAGCTGCAGATGCCTGTGCCACACCACAGATTGCATGTGACATTAGAGGAGGGGGCCAATCCACCCGCTGCAAACGAGGTATCCAGGTATCTCTGAATCTGAATTTGGGCGTCTTGACTCTTCTGAGCTCGGATGGGCTCCTGCAGCCGCGAGGGCGACTCCTCAGAAAAGCACGTGGCATTTCGACCAGAGACCTCACTGCATCGCTGCAGCGGCAGCACCGGCGATCGAGTGGATGCAGTCGCGGGAGACCTTTCCCTTTCCGGCTCCATGGCTTTGGAGGCAGAGATGCTCTGCTTGCACTGTCGCACATAACAGTTGACGAAGTCATCCCACTCTATGATGCCTTCAGGGTCACCCTCAACCAACAGGCAGCGAAATTGCTGCCTGGGGGATTCAAAGAAAGCGGCCACCTCGGGCTCCTGCTGCCGCATGGCAGATAGGAGCTGAGCACGGACCACACGCCCAGCACCCGTCACCCCATCACTACTCATGAAGAAGTCGCGGGCGCAGCGGTAGGCTCGTTCTCGTAAAGCCCAGTCGCTTCTGCGAACCTCACTAAAACTACTAAAACTAACCTGAAGACCCTCGCTTGGGAAGGAGTCTGTGCACCTGTCTTTGTCAGGCGTCTCAAACTCGGATTCCACCTCAATTGGCTTCGGCCCTCCGTCCTCCTGACTTTCATGCGCCGGCTGGGTCGCCAGGCGCCTTCGCAGGTGGGCCACTTCTTCACGTAGGCGGAGAAGCTCCGCATGCATCGGCTCTGCCTCTGGCGAGGCCGAGAGAGCAGAGGGAGCCGAGGGACTCGTCTCGGCGATGAGACTCGGACTGGCGCTCATGTCCACTCCAAAGCTGCAAGTGCCGCCATCTAAACTCTCCATGACCACCTACCAAAGCATTTTTAGCTTCCTTTTGAGCAAAAGCAGGCAAAAGCACCGGCAACCTCAAGCCAATCCCTCTGTCTTCACACAGGTCTCTGGTTGCAGACGCCCCGAGCGCACTTGAAGATGCGCTTGGAAAGCGGATAGTGTGGCTCTGCCTGCCGAGTTTTTGTCGGCGACTTGGACAGGACAGCGACAGCTCACTGCTTGCAGAGAAATCCAAGTCGAAGCCTGCGAAGTCACAGGGTTAATGAGCTGTTCTCCCGTGTGCTCTGGCCGGTGGGGCTCAAGCTGCTCGACCTCGGGAGGTTTTTGGGGGTAGTCAATGTGGATTCTGAGGGCATCGTGGCTGAGCTGGCAACCAGGTCCATGGATCCCCAGCTGATGGCACATTTGGCCTCCAACTCATCGGCTCTCTCTAGCGCGAAAGGGAGGAGGCCGTCTTGGCGGTGCCTCTTGCCGGCGCCAGAAGTGTGGTAAACACAGGGACCAAATACTCATCAGTACCTTTCATAAAGCTAACGGCCAGGGACAACACAGATCAAACACAGCAAACCAGGCAAGACAGGGAGTACGCAAAAAGGGATCGCCGTCACATTGTCGGGCGTCCGTGCCTGAGGAGACAATGCTAACACGGCTACAAACCCGAGAGCAAAAAGCCGCCGACTGAAAAATGTCTGAGCCACACGCACACCAGTCAATGAATTGAAGGAAAAGGCCTGCCATCTCCAGACTTCTGAGATATTCGTTGTTGCTGGAATTATCAAGACTCGCGAGCCTAGGCACGCCAGCGGCGAGAGCCACTTCACATAGAAGGCCATCCACAAGAAGTAAAAGGTGATCTGAATCAAGAAGCAACGGTGATGGTGATGCAGGCTTGCCCCTAGCCCAATCCACCACTAGCAGGGTTCACAGGGCGCAGCTTCAGTTGCCTTGTCACCGAAGTAGTCCCGCAGCCGGTTTGCATGCTCTTCATCAGGCCAGAACCATTTGAACTGGCAAGGTCGGGTGACACGGAGCTGATGCAACTGCCACACGCTCGGCATGCATCCAAAGAAGCCTGGAGCGACTTGATCTTGTCCATGACAGACTGTTCATGCAATGGGAAGAAAGCCTGGCAGATGTCGGCACATGGAACTGATGCCGGCTCTGCAGCCACACTGCCATGTGTTCCCACCTTCACCTCTTTCTGGTGCAAGAGCTTCGCTACATTGATGCCTTCGCACAGACGGTTGCTGAAGGGAAAGTCCAAGCTCTCATGCTTACAGGCGCCTGCACAGTCTTTGTCCTTGGATTGGATGATGTGGGAGATCAGCTGGATCCTGGCACATTTGGTCGTCGGTCATCTGCCATCAAGAGCTTCTTGCAAAAGATGCTGAGGCACTTGTCGACCGTCTTGAAGATGCCGCTGCCGTCCAAATTGTCCTGGTGATTCACGGACATGCACAAAGTTCGCCTCGGGTTCTAAAGTGCCAGGGTCGTGGTCCTCGGTGTGTGTTTGGTAAATGTGTGAGATGATACGCCGGTCGGCGAAGCGGAACTCCGGCCTGAGCTTTTGCTGAGGCCGTTGCAAGGTGTCACAGTGCTACGCTTCGAAGCCTTCCCGGATAGTCGTGCCGGAACTCGGCAAAGGCACTCAGATACTCCTGCACATCGGCGCACGATTTGCCACGGCATGTACCACCACCAACTTCCACCGACGCGCCTTCTTAAGCTGAAGCTTGTATCGCTTCCTTTCGGGCATCAAGATTTGTATTTCGCCGGAGCTGGCTGAGTAAGTGTACGATCTTCCGACCTTGCAGCGGTGTCTCGAAGCTTCTGCGCACCAGCTCCGATCTTTACCTGTATGGGAGCATGGCACTGCATGGCCCACCGGTTACACAGCTCTCTGCTGAGGCTGCAGCCAAGATTTGATCTCTATCTCTGCTGTAGAAGCAGTACAGGTTGAGGCCACAGTTCTGCAATTCGAAAAGCGCAGATGCATGCTTTCGTCAAGATGGACTGCTGCCCGAAACACAATCACCCCAGCTCATTCCCACAAGCGCTCCTGCAAAGTCTTTAAGATAGATTCCCGATGTTGCTTCCACATCTGCGATGGAGTAAAGGCTAAATTCTTGCAAGCATGAACGTGGAAGACAACAGCACAGCACCAAGGTTTTTGCTGTTAGTCCGCCACCGATGTGTCGTCTTGCAGCACCACAACCTGGAGGTTGTGAATTCGGCGAAAAATCGCGAATTCAGAGATGTTGCCTACACAAAGTGTGCAGGCACACTTCACGAAATTTCGACCTGCTTTGCTTTGCAAGCGGTCCACGCAGAGATCTGTACAAAGGCCTGCCTTGAGCAGCGCCAAAGACTCTGAGCGAGAGGCCTTCGTTGTCCGACGTTTGTTAGTGCATGCTAGGGGCACATTGCTGTCCTTTTGCGTTGCTGCACATGTTAGCAAGGACCTGTCCCTGTCGGGTACAAGATCAAACACAAATGCAACACCCGCTTCCAGCCCCACAATACTCTTCTGCGCTACATGCCAGATTGTACTAGCACATCTACAAGAGTGCATTGACCTCTTGTATGATTGAAGTGACTCCGGGTTCGCACGACAAGCCTCGCGCAACGTGCAGGTGAAATCCAACCTACGTCTACTAGTCTTAGTTTTAGTCTATCTCATGCATCAATGCTTATCATCTCTTCGTTGCCTCTGGCAGGAACTTGACCAACCTCCCTAAAGTTCTCAAGGACCCAGGGTTCTAAAGAACCCTAGAGTACCGTGAAAGGGGGACCCTATCATAGAACCCTATAGATCCCTTAACAGGGACGCCACGAGTAGGACACGGTCAGAGCTCGATGTCAAACCGCGCAGTCAGAGCTGCTCGAGCGGCCTCGTCACTGGCAGCAAGAAGGTGCAGAAAGACCATTTCAATTTCATACGGAATACAGAACCTGCAGTAGATGATACATCGTCTTCTGTAATATGAGGTATATGATCTATAATGCATGATACATAACCTATAATATATGATATATAATCTATCATATGTGATATATATATATGTATATATATACGTATAATCTAAACCATGTGATATGTAGTCTCTAATAGATGATATACAACCCATAATATGTGATATATATATATACAATATTATATTATATATATATATATATTATGTATATATTTTAGATAATATATAATATTGTATATGGAATATACTATATAGCTTGCTATCACGTCACTGAGGAATCCCGCGGGGAGGTACTGGCCTGAGAGCAAATCAAATCAGCACCGATCTAGGCAGCCAAGGCAGGGATAATTCTAAGGCCCGGGCATCTCTGCTGCCATGTCTCCCTGCACCGACGCAGGAGCGGACGGCTATTTCGATGAAAGTAGTGGCTGCTGTTGATTTTGCTTGGAAACCTCCTCTGACTGCCAGCAAAGTGAATGAACCATCAAATGGACAGACAACCCAACCTTGTGCACGAGCAATTCTGCAGAATCCGAAACGGGGCGACTCTCGAAACCACATCTGGGCAAAGCTGTGGCCTTCAGCGGGCACTCGTACCTGCCGACGAGATCTAAACGACTTCACTAAGAACAAACAAGAAACTGGGAAGCAGCTGGGGCCCGTTCCTCGGGCAGAAGCTCTGGCAGGGCCTCAGAACTGCTGGCAGGCTGCAACCGATACAAATTCGAGAAATTCTCTTGGCAGAGTGCTCGAGGCTTTGATCGGCGCCGGATGCCCGTGGACCTTGACATGACCGGTGATTGGTGAGTCGAAGTGCCTAAACCATCTTGCGTTCCCAAGGCCCGAACATGAAGTTGGGTACTGGCATGACGATGCGGTTTGCCTCATGCTGTCATTGTCGCGAAACAAGTGTCCTTCGGGTCCTTTCGACAGCGCAAGGCCGGGGCCAAGGACGCCGTGACTTCCTTCATCACTGCCGCGGGAGGCAAGGACTTCGCACCTGTCTCGGCGCAGCTCAAAATGGAAAGGCTTCTGGAACATGCATTGACACTTGCACAGGTTGCAGCGCTTTGCGATGAAAGCCCCGCACTCGAAAGTCTAGGCCAGGATGCGAAGCTCGACCTGCTCAAGCCTTTGTTTGCTCAGATTGGGTCCAGCAGCTCTTAACCGCAGCCACATGCCGTGAAACAACTTCATGCTGAACCGCCTCTGTGCTTGGGGGGGCTTCTTCGCCCGGACAGGTGAGGTCGTCGACAAGGCCGACATGGCCTTATTTGCATGGCAGCGTGAAAGAACATGTGGCCCCATCACCCAGGAGCTTGACTCGACGTGCGCTGCTGCAGCCTCACTTTTCAGAGGGGAGTAAAGGTGAAAGGATTTTTTGTTCCTTGTCCAAGCTTTCGATTTGGCTCTGGGAAACGAGCTGCAGTGAGGATTTCCGACAGTGGGCCGCAAGGTATCTCGCCTGAGCTCTTCATGCGGGGTCTGGAGACACGTCTTTCTTTGATGCGTCTTGAAGATGTGCCTCTGTCACATCCGCCGCCCCGAGACCTGGGAGCACTCGGTATGCTTTCTTTGTTTTGGATGACATCTGTTGGGACTCCAGCTCTGCGCCAATCGTGGGCAAGACTTGCGAATTGGCTCGCGCCCTTGCAGAAGCAAACTTGTCTGCACGCAGCTGTACGTCAGCGAAGTTTTATCGCTGGCTCAAGGAGCCATTCGCAAGGCAGCAGAACATGCATGCTAGGCATCGGCCGCCGCACTATCTGCACAAGTTGACCATGTACGATCCGGGAACAACGAAACACGATTTGTTTATCGCTGGGCTAGCTACTCATATGTGCAGAACGTATCCTCGGATCCCACCACAGCTTCCTGTCCAACCCGGAGTTTGCTTCTGAGTACACTTTCATCTTCCCGTGGCACAACCAGGCCCTAGTTCTGAAGGTTCTGCCTCTGTGTAATCTCGCAGCCGTGGAGTCATTAGTGCGAGTTTCGTTCAAGCTCTTGACAGCCTGAACATGTGAAGGAGGCCATGATGCCACAATCGACTGCATCTCCATCATTAAACAAGCCTGAATTTTGCATCGCACACTTGCGCACCACCACGTCAAGCGACGATCGAAAAAGGACAAGAGTGCCAAAATTTCAACCACCACTGGCTTCCACAGAATTTCATGCAAAGCCGCCAGGCGTGCATCCAGAGCCCCGGAGTCCGGGCAGGCAAATGCCGGGAAACCTCCTTGGGATCTGTAATCACCTGCTGCCGGCCAACAGCAGGCTCTCCTTCGGCCCTGCTCTAAGCACCTAGTTGTGCTTGGTGCTTGTTGGAGTGTGCGATCTGTTCCCAGCCACAAGATGCTTGTGGCACGCAGCATATTGCCACCGGCACGACTGGCAAGCTCGCCGAGCGTAAGGCAAGCACAGGTTCGGCGATGACGCCGCCTGCCAGAGACCTCCAGTTGCAGCTGTCAGAATCTCACCCTGGCACAACGCAGAACTGGGCCATGCACCACCCGGCAAGGACCTGTCAAGGTTCGATCGAAGCCTTTCCAGCCTATCGTAAGCCTTCCTTCTCGAGTTCTGCCTACGATGCACACACACACACAAAGCACGAAAAGGGCGCACCGCTGAAAGTCCTTCCCGTCCTGAGCATGCACAGAGCAGCCGCGCATCCGTATGTCTTGCCTCTCTCAGCGTACCTCCTGCTCCTCGGATGTCCTGAAACACTCCAGCCTTGCATGAGCGAGAAGTATGGTGACATCATGCAACGCTTGTCCGGAAGAAAGCTTGAAGTGACCGTGCTTGGGCATGAACATGGAGCAGACGTCATCATTGCTGGACGGCAAGCCCGAAGCTGCATGCCCACGCCTTGTTCTCTGCTTGATGAAGACATGGGATGAAAGTCGGAGTACCCAGTTTTTCACGGCTGCTGCAGGACAGCTAAGTGCACTGCAGCAGGCTTTCCAAGTCAGCCGCTCGAAGCTCTGGCAGAACCTGCGCTCACGACTCGGAGGGCCTACATGGGGAATGCGACGCTGCAGCCGCAGCCGCAGAGGCCGGGCCTTGAGCAGCTTCTTGCATTCCTTGCTCTTCTCAAAGGCCTTTGGGAGTCCTTTTTACAGACAGCACAGCACGGGATGTGTCACATTGTGAGCTTTGGGCTTCGTGCGTTTGGACAGCATCCTCGCCCGACTGCCTTAAGGCAGAAAAGTCTCTCTGAAGTCTTTCTTAACCCGATGAGTCAGACAGGACCCTGCAAGCCTCAAAGGACTCTTGTCAAAGACCTAGGCTCGTGCTTGGAAGATTGTCCCGAGGCTTGCTATCTCGCTCTTCGTGCAACTCCCAGTCCTCAGCGCCATATTAGTAGTGAGACATCTCTAAGGAGCGGCGGGAAAAAACTCAAGGACCTGCAACTGCGCTCTCCGGGGATCTGGCTGCGTCAACCTAAACACTCCCAAAGTCTTCAGTCAAAACTCGCATCGTGGGCGCAGTGGGAGCCTCCTGCCAAGCGAATCTTTCCAAGACGTCGAGGCTGTCTCGGCCTTGCAAGAGTTGCTACTCGCTTCCGGCGGAAGCCCCCTAAACCCCACTTCTGAGGCACGAAGCATGCATTTCCAAGATCCTCAATGAGACTGCCCTCCTTCGCCTTTTCGCAGCGAGGGTTTTGTTTTGCCCGGCCCATGGAGCACCCTTCCGTTCCCTGTTCTGCGGCCTGTGGGCTGTCGGACGAACTTGAACTGGATGAACTCGCGTCGTTGAACGCTTTGGCTGCCTTCAGGACTCAGCGAGAGGTGCGGCCGACGATTGCTCGCCGACTGTTGCGCCAAAGCTCAGGCGTAGGCACTGGGGAGCTGCCGATGGAAGTTGGACAGCCGCGCGTAAGACGCACTCCGAGCCTCGACGCTTGGAACAACGTCTGCACTGCCAGTTTCTTAACTCAGCTCTCGAAGCTGCGGGCCAGCCGGGCGCACGCGGAAGGTCCCAAATTGTCGCAAGCGGCCTGACGACGCAAGTCGCGGAGGGTAGCCGTTGCTACCAGATTAGCTCGATGTGTCGGCGGGAAATGGCACAGCACTGAGTATGACAGCGACCTCCATGCGCATAAGGTACTCCATCAGCAAGAGGCCTGGGGACGTGCTTGAAAGCGCGCATGCTCTTGGTCGAGCAGCTCTAGACGCGGCACTCACAGGAGCTCTAAGCGAGTGGAGTTCTCGAACCATGTGGTGCATTTTGGCCTGTAAACTCCTAGTCTTGGCACACGCCTACTGTGGGCTCCTAGCCGCTCATGTGCGACTGCACCTGCAACTGAGCCGCTTGAATTTTCGTTTTCTGCACAACCCATACACAAACTACGGTGGGGTAGCTGAACTGTCTCGAAAGCTGTTGCACATGAACATAGGATGGAAAGCCCGATTTGTCCTAAATGTCAAGAGGGGGTACAGTATACAGGTCTTCGTTCCACAGCTGTGTTGAGCAGGAGATTCCCAAAACACAACGCAAGAGTGACAGTTTCAGCTGGCCACAGACTGGTAGAACCTGATACAACCCATACACTACAAAGGTTTTGATGCCGCTGCGAGCCGTTCGGGCAGCAAAAAGAGTCTCTCAACATGGACCCCAAAAGTTCAAGCTCAACAAGGCACCCTAATGTGCAGACCTAGGCCGTGGCCTTCACAAGCCACGATATCTGAAAACCCAAGACGTTCTACACCAAACACGTATTGATGCTGTCGACCCTCCTGACCCAAGGGCCAGACAAGAGGCCATGTTCACCGAAGAGATGGGAAGGGGCTTTTCGTCAGCCTGAGGCAATTAAGGCCAAGCAAAGTCAAGTTGAATCACAGCGGGCCTGGCCCAAATCCTCCGGCTGAAGATCGGCTTTTGATCGAGAAGTCTTTCCTGCCACGAAATACCACCATACCGAATGTCGTCAGCATGTTTCGGAACATGATGGTGAAAGGCTGGGACACGGTATTTTGGAAACCTGATTCTGCCACAGATTTCGAATCCTAGTCTTAGCCAGAACCATTTCCCAATGCGTCCTGACAGGCTTCGTAGTGTGCGGCGGGCAGCCATGAGCGCGTACTGGCGACATGGGCCCATCGGGAAGTGGCACTTGGCTTCAAGAGAGACAAGGCCGAGGCCTCTCGGTCCTCCAAGCTGCTGCCAGGGTCTGCCACGCTGGGCGGGAGCGGTGACACAGGAACAGCAGGTACTTGTCCGGACAAGGGCTCCTGCCACAGCTGGATCTCCGCACTTTTTGGTTATGTTTCGTTCACCCAGAGCATCCGCGTCTGTCCTTGGGTCCCAGGATGCTCTCCTTGTCCGCTACAGCTCGTGGTCGATGCCACTCTCTCTGAGTGCTGCCCTCTGGCAAGGCCCTCACAGCTTGCATAGCTTCTTTCTTGTCTTCAACCCGAGACCCCTCGGCCCGCAGATCGGGTCTGATCATCTCCGTCGCCGACCGCAGCGGGGCAGGTCCATAAAGAATCGAAGCCAAGATTTGCGACAGCGAAAGAGGTGCAGTGGGGAAGCCGCTGCGAGAAAAGCTTCCGGGCTGCATGCGGCCCTCTGATATGATGCCATAGCGCTTCACGGCTGCACGCGTCGGATAAAGGGAGACGAAGTTTCGACATCGCGCACGCTCGCCGATGGACTTGGCGATCATCTTCAGAGCTGAGTCAGGTAGCGCGTTGAGAACAACGGGTGGCAGATTCTCATCGACGGGAATGTCCTCCTTCGCGCATTCACCTTTCCCGTTGCCTGCCTGCTTCCAGGGCTGTGCATGATTCCGGGCTCTGTCTTTCGGGGTCCCCCTCTCCGGCGAGCTCACACCCACAATGTTGAAGGTGTCAGCCAACAAGGAGCTCTTGATCTGCCAGTCAAGTGGGGATTCTGCTTGCATGCTTGGGCTTAGGTTCACCTCCAGTAACCATGGCTTCAGTTCATCATCTACCAGCACGTCAAACCCGTAGAGCTCGAAACAGTTTTCCCTGCCTGCCAGAACTTGTCTCGTTCGGTTGCTGATCGCGGGCTCCACCGACATCAACGTCTTCACAATCAAGTCCATGATGCGAGTCCACATGAGATCAACATCCACTCCAACACAACGCAGGTGATTGTTCAATGCAGACAAGCTCCACTTGTGGCCAACATTGTCACAGCGAAGGTCACTATTTTCCACAAAGGTGCACGAGTTTTTGTTGATTGAGTAGTTTGTCAAATGACGGAAGGCGTCCTGCATGTGATCCGCTTCTGTACTGTAAGGTGCCGACGCGAAGCGAGTCAGTCCTTCACGATAGATATACGCTTTCAAGGGGTCGAAGGAAGTCACCAGCACATAAACTCGCAGGTCAAACTTGAGGCCTTGAATCAACAGTGGATTCATGATGTACCGTGAAACCACAACCGTCTCGTCGACAGGAAGCTCTGACAGATCTTGGAGGATGAAGATTCCTCTACCTCTTGAAGACGAGTTGGGCTTGACAATCCAAGTGCATCTCGTCCTCTGGTAACATGTGAGAAATTCATCAAACTGTTCTGGCAGCACGTAAGTCTCCGGTACGAAATCGAAACACTGTTTACCATAGTTTCGCGCCATCTCTGCGAAATGATGCCAGAGGCGATCCTTTCGAGTCAACTCTGTTGAACCGGGGAAATGGTTTATCCTTTGCCATTCAGTCATACTCTGGTATACAGCATCTTTGATGTTGGGTCCAGACCACTGGATCACATAGTCGTTCCCAAGGGTTGGAACCATACCGTTGTGAAGGAACGTCTCTTGCAGGAGAGGGGCGTCCGCGGCGTTCAACAGGAATGCTGGCACGCCAGGGGAGCGACTCTTCGCCCCACTCCTGCAAAGAACAGATGCCCTTGATTGTTGAAATCGAGGGCACGCATGTTCTCTCAGGCTCCGGCTGTGAACATGCCCTGCTGCCAGAGAATGGCACTGGTCGAAATCTGAGCGCACTTGCGGAACAGGCTCATATTGTCCCTCATCGATATTCTCTCTTCAACTGAAGCCTGTTAAGGCTTCGGCTGCATCATGGGACGGTCTAAGCCACGGCTAGAAGCCGCAAGCAACACCTTGACACGGCTGCATGGGCTTCTGAAGGACACACCAACTGTTGCAGGCAGACAATGGGCCTCTGCCAGCCGACCTTCCAACTGCGAGGGTGTGGGCTCGCGGCTTGCAAGTTCCTCGTCCTGCCGGGCACGGAACGCCCTTCTTGCACTCAGCCACTCGCCGCGGCCCCCCCTCACCACCTCATCTGATGTGTAGCCAGGCACCTTCTGCCACAAGTCCCGCGTAGGCTGCTGCATCCTGGCTTGCTGGCAAACTTCGGTCTGCAGGTGTCGCTGAAGACCCTTCGAGTTCAATTGGAGCATTCTGCCTTTGGCACGCAGCTGGAGCAGGGCACTCCTGGCGCTATCCTTGCCTGACAATACACCACGTGGTGCCAACGCAACAGCGTGAAAGTCTGTGTCCAGGCCCTCCTTGTGCACGGGTCGCGCACATGTTCTTCGGAACTACAGTTGTTGATACATAGCTGTCTTCATCTTCGGCTTATGCAGGCAGTGTGAAACGATGACCGCAATGCTGGCCACTCATTCATGGTCATGCACTGTTCTCCAGCCAGTAGAGCATGTGATTGCCTTCTGTGTCCGCCTGTATCCCCCCTATGATACTGCTGTTAAGCCAAGGTCGACGTGAGCACATCAGATCACACCATGCATGATGACGTGACACAGCCTCAAACAGAAGTCCAGAGCATTCTGCTGCAGCTGCGGGTCACAACCTGCATCTTGGTATGATCCTCTGGCCCAGCAGGTGGCAGAGCCTCCCAATACAGTGGTAAAACAATCGTAACTACCGGCCCAGTCCGCTTGGCAAACCCGGCTTTGCATGTCAGTAAGGCGGCGACCCGGTGGAACTCGTTTTCTTGCTCGTCAAACCTGGGCGCGAGCTCAAATCCCAGCCCCCCTCTCCTCGGGCCACTCACCCGATCATCAAATCGAGAAACAAACCGCCCCTCAGGACGGCACGCAAATCTTTTGTCCGTCTTGTGCTGGAACACCTGCCAGATGCTGTCGCACAAGCTCCGTCCGGAGGTGCAGTGCGGCAAAACTGGGAAGAGATGCCATGCAGACTTCGTAAAAGCGCCGCATTGGCACTTCCGGTGAATCGACACCTGGCAGAAATGTCTCCGACGAGCCACATCTGTCTTCAAGAGGGCACGATGAAGATATTACTTAGTGGTGCAACGAGTCTAAACCAACACTCTCGACAAGAAGCAACTGTAGCTGATCAAACCGACCTCTGCCAGAGGCTGCGTCTAGCTGCTCATACTCCCCTTTGGTGTACCTAGCCGACAGAAGAGGCCAGCGGTTATTTAGTGACTCTGGTCAGGAAGCTGTGGTCGGCCGGGCTTCTCCTCCACTCTTTGGAACAGAGCTCATATAACTGTTATAGGCCCAGCGCACGCTGACATCGCGGATCGCGGCTGCAGCCCACCTTCTACTGATGGCAGGCCACGAAATGGCGATCCAGAGACATGGCACAACGTGAACAGCCAGGCAGGAGGAGCTAAGCCGGGCCTCCGGACAGTCGAAACTTAGCCTGAAGCTTTGGAGAGGGCTTGCGCGGTCCTGTGGGAGAAGACACCATACCAGAAAAGTTGACATGCTTGGCACTGCCACCAGGTCACCAAGTCCTCCTTGCTTCAGCAACGCAGCAAAAGGACATCTACAGAGTCAAACTTGCAAAGGTCTTCGCCTTCGCTGAGCCACCGGGGACGCGAAGTTTGAGATGATGAAACGCAGTGACACGACGACAACAAGCACAAGACGCGGGAACAGGGAGCCTCTGTCTTTCCGGCAGCGCACCAGACAAGACTAAGGTCTAAGGACATCCTTGGCTTCAGACGGCCTGTGCATGCCGTTCTAAACCGCACGGATGCGTTTCGCAGGCGGTAATGGGGCTTAGCCCAGCGTCCTGCATTGCGAACTTTGTGGAAGGCTCTCTGTACATCGTAGAGCCAGGGCTTCCTCCAAGCAATGGGCCGATGCGACTCACTACATGACCTTTCCGAGAGACAGGTCTATAGGGCATTGCTTCAAGTCTCAAGAGTATTGCTTCCAAATTGTGATCTACGTTCGAGTCAGGTGACAGAGACAAAGACTCGAAACTGAAAACTGAGGCGAAGACATCGCACGCACCAGACTTCGGCGAGTCCTTGCATTCTACAGGCGTGAGAAGAACTGCAAGTCGGCATGAACATGAGCCCCACGCAGCCTCCGATTTCATTGGAGTGGCGACAACTGCAGGTTCGCTGGTTGAGTCCTGAATTCCAAACATGTGACTTGGATATCAATATTACAAGATGTCGATGCTACAGTACAGTATCATCCTGCGCAAAGCTCATTGTGCCAGAACGCATCTGCAGCCTGAAGTGCAGCAAGCTCAGGCAAAGGCCTTCCTGCACTCACAAAACTATTCGAGGCTGCTGCTGTCTTGCAGTTTTTCGGGCGAGCGCCTGGATGTCAGGAACCTGCTCTCTGACGCACACTGGCACAGGGACAGTTGACTCGACGGAAATATCCCTTGTTCATGCAGACCGGCAGCTGAATCCTTCCACGTCTGACCCTTGCAAAAGCTGCCGAGGGCCTGCACAATGCCAATGCCACGGAGGTGTGCTGCTCTGCGAATTCTCCTGCCTGGAACCCCCATCGCTCTCCATCTCCACCACCCCTGGCTGGATGAATTTCGAGTCAGCCCCGGCCACGTGCAAATACTGAGTTTGCGGCTCCCTGAACAGTCTGGCCATAATAAGCCCTCGCTCACCGCGGCCCTCTCGCAATACCTGAGTGCACAGATGCCATCGTTTCCGGTGATTCTGGTCTGGGTTGCAGGTCAGGTGTCTCGCGGCGGCTTTCTCAAAAACTTGGATTGAATCAGTCGGATACACAGCGGTACACAACGGACTGGCGCCCAAAGCACAAAGCACATCTGGACTTCAGGTCAGACCACCGCTTTGCAAGAATATTTCCCCCGTCATGGGCTCAGAAGGGATGGCGTGTTTGTGCAGAATTTAGCATCCTGACGCTTCCTTTCCGAGTTGATGCCCATACTCGAAGTAAGAAAAATAAGCGTCCCGTCGATCGGCACCTCTTGGAGGTCTGCGAAGTGTTGTTCTGCTGAATGCCAACACTTCGCATATCCCGGCTTGAAGGCTGAGGAGAGTGCATAGCGAGCCATCTCCTCACCAGATGAATCCAATATGCGGCCTTCAAGCTGTAACACGGTACAGAGTGTTAAGGCGTAGTCCAACGCGTAGATTTGTCCAACAAGAGAAGCAGCTGTGACTGAGGCCGCGGCAATACGCGTTCGACACCTTCTCAAACGTAACTCCACGAGTGTAAACCTCGTCAAACTTCAATCGGCAAGTTCCGGCAAGCCTAGTTTGAGACCGCAGCATTAACCACGAAAACGATTTGATGAATGTCCGCCTGGCGAGCATGGCAACGCACCTTGTGAAATTGCGCGGGAGCAACGTGAAAGCTGCACCGGAATTCGTTGAAGATTGGCCGTGATGACCTGCCGATTCTGGTATGCTGCGTGCTGAGGTGAAAAGGCTCCAGGGCCAGGCCTCGTCATCCCCGTCGCCCTGACAGAATGGTCAAGAGTCAAGAGTTCACAACAGATCTAGGCTGGGGCCACTGAGACCTCCGAAGGGCGCCTCGCCCGTGAGATTATCCCCACTGTGTGTCAAGGCCCAGCCCTGCTTCAAGCGCCACTTCTGATGGCTCGACCAACCAAAGCACACGAGGGCCTCCAGCTCGCCAAAGAAGACGGCACCCCTGACCTTCGTGGCGACATGCTTCGCAGATGACATTCAAAAGCCTTCTGGAGGACATAGCAGCATGGCAACTGGCAAGAGTTGTGGCACAACCGAAACATGAATGTGCAGGTCATGCAAGACAGAGACGTATGGTCGCCTCTTCCTCCTCTCAAGGAGTGAAGGAGTCATGCGAATGTAACTGGGTGCCTCGCCTGCCCGTCACCACCCACAACAACTGCAGACACCTCCACCACTGTAGCAGAAAGAGCCGAAAGATTCTTCAAAGCTTTCGCATCTGAGAGTGGGGCGTCCAAGTCGACATCAACACCAGCATCGGGGGACACGTCCCACCCTGACAGCACATGCTCATGTTGCGCCTCTCATACCACCTTCACTCACCAGGCATACTAGGCCTAGGCAAGCTTGCACGGTTCCGAGGGATTCAGCTTGTGGCCTTTGGCAGCTTTGGCATGCAGACTCACTGGATGGAATGAGTGCTTCTTGCGACCCGATCACATATCAAAGGACCCGACAAATCCACGACGGATGCCTTTTCCATTGCAAAAGCCACCTGACAGTGATACCCACTGGCACTGAAAGCATCACACGCGAGAACGCCGGAAGCACCTTCTGGCGCTTGGGGGCTCCCGGAATTGCAGCACGGATGATGTTCCTTGGATCTGCTGACTTCAGCCCCCCGTGGTCCACCCTTTGGAACGAGTACAACTGCAAGGAGGCTCCCCAGCACTGGTTCGAGGATGTCGATGAAGTGACGGCCTGGAACCAGAATCCTACCGCTTTGCAAGAGGCTCAACACTGGTGCCTTCTCTCGCCGGCTCTTCAATGATCTGCATGTGCCAGCCACTGTCCTTCAAAATACTTCACGTGCCATCAGGTTGCAGCAATGCTCCTAGGAGGAAATCACCAGCCGCTGTGAAACTTGCCACAAACACAGTGCTCAGGGTCGCTTCTGCATGACGAAAAAGCAACTGCCGCGGGAAAACTACTCATTACTCCCCCCACTACAGCATGCAGTCCGTACGAAGAATGGATGCAACAGCGTCCACTGCGTAGATGCTTTGCTCCAATGCAAAGCATGCCACCTGAGCAGTCACTGTGTTCGACATGTAAGACATGTTGGTAACGCACGGTTATCAAGATCTTTCACGTGTCAGGACACCTGTACAAAGCATGGAAAAGCCTAGATGCATGGATTCATGCACACACAAACACACACATTACCCCATTCTCTCTCCCTCTGCCTCTCCTTCGGTTCGTCGATCACGTTGCTGTTCCGAAAAGCAAAATGCCATTTGCTTAGCCGGACAACATGACACATGTGGCAAGCAGTTGTCAAGAATAAGAAGCATCACTGAAGCTCCAACAGCACATGCTGCACCAAGGCCTGGCAGTCTTTGTTCCCTTCCAGCACGTGCAGCTTTCCGTTCTTGGCCTGGTGTGCGCGCGTACCAAGCTCTTAATAAATCTTCAATCCAGCAGCAATGCTAGCACTGACTTCAGTAGAATCTCAAGTCAATCGTTTTTGATGCAGCAGCAAGCAAGTTTACAAACGAGGTTTGAGCTGACATAGCTCGCAGGGTCGCGAACAAGCCCCGGGCATCACGCAAACTGCCGCCGCTGTACGCGGCAACTACGAAGATCAACAACCTGCTGAAGCCATCACAACCGCCTGAAATTGATAAGTCTGGTGTCAGCAAGCTGCCTGATGTTCTCTGGCAGCTTCGGCAGATTCGCCCATATAAGCTCGTCGAAACCTTCCTGCGCACATCATGCTGGCAAGGGTAACGCAAATGCCTCGTTTGTAATGCCCCCTTTTTTCCATCCACTCCTTCTGACCCGTCTGCTCATCACCAGAATGAGTTAGGGATCCTTTAAGTGCCTGCGATTCAACGACGCCACAGGCATCACTGACACAATCAGAAGAACCAGCCTTCATGTTGTTGTAGTACACCGCATCAACTATACATCCTCGTTCATCAACTACCACGGCCTGCACCAGCAGGATGCAAACTAGACCTGCTAAAGCTTCGACAAAACAACTACGAAAGGTGCCTGCAAATCTAAATCTACCGCCTTCCCTTCAAGATCCCATGACCTCGGTATTACAGCCACCATCCTTCTTCATAACATACGAGGGATACTGTCTGAGCTTCCGACACTGCAACACCGTACCTGCCGAATGAACCCGTGCTTGGGTTTGGGGCATCGTAAAACCGCCGATTTGAAGTGAATCTTGCAAGTGACAGTGCAAGCCTCGATGACTTCAAGGCCAGGTCCTCTGCATGCTTCAGTGCGCCTTGTGCAGTCAGCTACATATAGGAATACGCACTACGTGAGAGTGCACGCAACGAAATCCGAGGAATCCGCACATCGCTGTGGCAAGCCGGTGAGTGTGCGCTCGCAACCATATTTCGTTGCCGTTAAGCTGGTGTCCCGGACAAAGATTGCTGGTACATAGTCATAAATGCTGTCTTTGCCTATTGATTACGGACGCACCATCAGCTCTCAGCTGCGTGAGTGTTGGGAATGTTGAACGTCGAGAATTAGGACGTGAGCATTGCTGTGCAGCTTGTAGCTTGTCGTTCCCATCTACCCGCCCAACTCACGGTTCTGAAAGCTCGGAAAAGCACACATAATCTCATTGCTGCATATTGCATTTTGCAACAGCCTTGCGTGACACTCATTCATCAGCGCCAACCCAGATCTTCCAAAAATCCTTAAATAACTGTTAGTAAATGTTTCTTGCCACCTTGTAACCTAAGGCTTCATGTTTCGGATGGACACATGCTTCATTCACTCCAATATATCTTCCTGCATATCGTCAGTCCAGTATCAAAATAAAAGAAAATGGGACCTTCTAGAGAGCTTACGAAGTGCCTCATGCGAAATCGTGAAACTCGCAGTCTCAAACAATCGCCCGACCACAGATGGAAAATCTCTGGGATTGGCAAAGCCTCTAAGGGTAAAGATGCAAGATCGTCGATCCCCTTCAGGATCACATCTCTTTTTTCAAACTGGCCTTCGGCCAATTGTCCCTTCGGACTACAAGATCGTCGATCCCTTCGGGATTGCCCCTTCGGGCTACACTGGGGCGTCTTTCATCCGCAAAGTTTGGGTGGGAGCGGTGGGTACAAACTTTGCTGCACGGACAATCCCGCCCACCCACCCTCTGCTTGAGCATTTCGCGGGAAAGCCGCCGAATGCCGTTCAAAGCTCAGCAAAAAACATGAAGCGCGAAAGCTTTTGTCAATGTTTCTTGCCACCTTATAACCTAAGGCTTCATGTTTCGGATGGACACATGCTTCATTCACTCCAATATATCTTCCTGCATATCATCAGTCCAGTAACAAGATAAAAGACATGAACCTGAAAGAGAGCTCACGAAGTGCCTTATGCGAAATCGTGAAACTCATTGTCTGAAACAATCGCCGACCGTTAGTTTCCGAGGTGCCTCTACGGAGCCTCAGGGCCTCACAAAACAGCA